AAAATCAGCCAATGTAATCCACCATATAAACAAACTGGAAGAAAAGAAGAAGAAGAAGAAGGAGGGGGGGGGGGGGGGGGGGGGGGAGGGGGAGAAGGGAGGAGAAGGAGAAGGAGAAGGAGAGAGGAGAGGAAGAAGAGAAGAAGAAGAAGAAGAAGAAGAAGAAGAAGAAGAAAAACCTCACATGATCATTTCATTAGATGCCTAAAAAACCTTTGACAAAAATCCAACACCTCTTCATGATAAAAGTTGTGGAAAGAGTAAGGATAAAATTGACATACCTAAACATAATAAAGGCAATTTACAGCAAGCATATGGCCAACATCAATTTAAATGGAGATAAATGTAAAGCAATTTCTCTAAAATCAGGAACAAGACAAGGCTATTCACACTCTGTAAGGATGGAAACATTTAGCCTAATTCTCTCTAGACTCTGCCCCCTAGCAGTGAGTAGGCAAAAGGTCATTCTTGACTGTTTATGACAGGAAGGTTTACCAAGACAGCACCTGTGAGTGAATGAGAACAGGAAATGAGCTGTGCCACACTACCCAGGAGCCCTATCGAAACAGCCCTGGGCTAAGTGTGGGCTTGTCACACTACCCAGGAGCCCTATCGAAAGCAGACTTCCTGGGCAAAGTGCGGGCTTGGATAGTTCAAATTGATTGGTCCACACTGGATGCTATGAGATGATTGGTTTGTAATGGATGGGCTTTGTTGTAACCCTATAAAAGCTGTCTGAACCCTGTACCTTGGTGGAGTATGGCTGCAGACCCCAGTGCACTGGAATATAAAAGACCTCATGCTTTTGCATCAAGACCGCTTCTCGTGAGTGATTTGGGGGAGAGCCGCCTTTCCTGAGTCAGGCCCTTCGCGGGTCTTTCAGCTCTCCTTACCTATCCAATATGATACTTGAAGTTCTAGCTAGAGCAATAAGACAACCTAAGGAGATGAAGGAAAGCAAGAAGTCAAGATATTATTATTTGCAGGTAATATGATAATATACATAAGCAGCACCAAAAATTCTACTAAGGAATTCCTACAGCTGATAAACAGTTTTAGTGAAGTGATAGGATAAAAGATTAACTAAAAACAAAACAAAACAAAATAAACAAACAAAAAAACCCAAAACAACCAGCCAATCAACCAATCAACTAAACAAACAAACAGTAATTCTCCCATATGCAAATGGGCTGAGAAAGAAATCAGGGAAACAACACCCTTCACATTAGCCACAGATAATATAAAATATCTTGGGGTAACTCCAAACAAGCAAGTGAAAGACTTACATGATAAAAAAAACCTCAAGTCTTTGAAGAAAGAAATGGAGAAGATATTAGGAGTTGGAAACATCTCCCATGCTCATGGATAGGTAGGATTAACATAGTATAGATGGGCCATCTTACCAAAAGAAATCTACAGATTCAACACAATCCCCATCAAAATTCCAACACAATTCTTTACAGACCCTGAAAGATAGTACTCATCCTGCACAAAACTCAGGTATGAGTGGATCAACCAGACATACTGAACCTAATAGAAGAGAAAGTGGCAAATAGCATTGAATGCATTGGCACAGGAGACAACTTCCTGAACAGAACACCAATAGCAGAAACACTAAGATCAACAATCAATAAATGGGACTTCATGAAACTGAAAAGCTTCAGTAAGGCAACGGATACCTTTATTTGGACAAAGCAGCAGCCCACAGACTGGGAAAAGATTTTCACCAACCCCACATTTGACAGAGGGATAATATCCAAAATATATAAAGAACTGAAGTAACTAGACATCAAAACACCAAATAATCCAATTTAAAATGGCATACAGATATAGAGAATTCTCAACGGAGAAATCTCAAATAGCTGAGAGACACTTAAAGAAATGTCCAATATCCTTAGCTATCAGGGAAATGCAAATCAAATGACTCAGAGATTCCACCTTACACCTGTCAGAATGGTTAAGATCAAAAACAGAAGGGGCAGCTCATGCTGGAGAAGATGTGGAGTTAGGGGAACACTCCTCCATTGCCGGTGTGCATGCAAACTTATACGTTCACTTTGGAAACCAATATGTCAGTGTCTCAGAGAACTGAGAATCAATCTACCTTAAGGTCCAGCTATATCACTCTTGGGCACATTACCAAAGGGTGCTCCATCGCACCACAAGGACACTTGCTCAACTATGCTCATAGCAGCTTTATTCAAAATAGCCAGAAACAGGAAACAACCTAGATATCCTCAATTGAAGAAAAAAGAAAATGTGGCAATTTGTACAATGGCATTTTACTCAGCTGTTAAAAACAATGACATCATAAATTTGCAGGCAAATGGATGGAACTAGAAAAAGTCATCCTGAGTGATGTAACCCAGAAAGACAAACATGGCATGTATTTACTTTTAAGTGGACAGTAGCTATAAAATAAAGGATAGCCATGCTACAATCCATAGACCCAGAGAGGCTAGGTAACAAGGTGGATCTCCCTGGGAAGGGGAAATAGAATAGATTTTGTAGGTGGGGATGGGAACAGGAAGGCTCGGTGGTGTGGGAAGAGGTAGGGGGGAGTGCTGGGAAAGACATCTGGAATTGGGGAGCATTTGAGGGGCAATGTGGAAACAGTGCAGTGGAAACTACCTAGAATCTATGAGAATGACCATAGCGAAGACTCCACGTAGTGGAAGATACAAAGCCTGAATTGGCCATCTTCCAGAACTAGGCTTCTAGAAGCAGTGGGATTGGAACACCAAACCAGCCACAAAACCTTTGACCTACCACCTGTCCTGCCTGCAAGATGTGCTGGGGTAATGGTGTCACAGAAATTGTGGGAGTGGCCATCTCATGACTGGTCCAACTTGAGACCCATGCCATGAGAGGGAGCATGGCTGACACTGCCTGGATAGCCAGGATCTAGAGTCTGGACAGCCCAGAGACCCAGAGAACCCAGGATAAACACGACTGGTAAAAAGATTCAATGAAATGATTACTAATGATATTCTGCTGTACTCATAGATTAGTGCCTAGCCCAATTATCATGAGAGATGTCAAACAGCAACCAATGGAAACAGATACAGAGACCCTCAGACAAACACTAGCAGGAGCCAGGGGGACCCAGCAGAGGAGGGGGAGGGAGGAAAGACAGATCAAGGATACTATGAGAATACAGCCCACAGAACCAACTAAGCAGGGCTCATAGGGGCTCACAGAGAATGAAGCAACAACCATGGAGATGTATGGGTCTGAATATATGTCATGGTTGTTTATCTTGGTGTTCTTGTGGGATGTCTAACAGTAAGAGTGCATCTGCCTCTGACTCTTTTGCCTACTCTTGGAATCCTTTTCCTCCAGCCTTGATGTGAGGGTTTGTGCTTTTAGTCTTATTGTAACTTGTTATGCCATGTTTGGTTGATATCCCTGGGAGCCTTGTTCTGTTTTGAGGGGAAAATGAGGAAAAGTGGATCTGAGGGAAAGGTTTGAAAGGGGGAGGCAACTGGGAGGAGTGTGTGTGTGTGTGTGGGGGGGGGATACCATGGTTGAGGTGTAATGTATGAGAGAAGAAAAAAAGTCTGCATACTGAAAAAACCCAGAATTTTTCCCCCTTCTGTTAAAAAAAGTCAGTCTGAGTGGCACTGACGTGAAGGATCTGACACATCATCCTTGGTGATCACCAACACACACAATGCCTAAGACACAAAGCCCTCCTAACTGTTAGAAATAATTTAATATTCCACTTTTAACTTTAGCCTGAACAGAAAGGAAATCTGCTATATTTGCACCGAATTGGCACTTAAGACTTGCATCCCCAGCCTATGGGAAAGTTTATGCTCAGCCAATGAGCAAGCTTGTCAGATTGGGTTTGGCAGAGTCAACTTTCACAGACTTCTCTTGGTAATGTCTATGTTTTGTTGACTAATCTTATTAACTGAATTTTGATTTTTTGCTACAAAAGTTATTTCTTTGCTGCTACTTAAGTTCCCAAGAGAGGTAACTATAAGATGAGCCTTGTAACAGGCTTAGAAAAGCATGCCAGTGGCTCCAAAGGCCAGGAAAGCCATCCTGGGATAGTTCTTCAAGACCACAGGCTCCATCTGCCTAGCTCTAATGTGCTCCTGAAGGTCTGTTTTGTATTTTTTGAGGCAGGGTGTCACTATGAAGCCTTGACTGGCCTTAAACTCACTACATAGACCAAGCTTTCCTTGAATTCACAGAGATTCACCACAGGCATGTGCATCTTCAGCATCTGGACGTGTTATTGAAACTGAGTTTGAAGCACCACAAAACCAAACTTAACTCTTCTGGTGAGCAAAGACCTTGAGTATAAGGCATGAGTGGAGAAATGGAAATAAATCCTACCAAGACTGGGGCTTATTATAACTCAAGGGAAAGAAAAAAGGGTGAGAAAGGGAGGGTGGAGGGAGGGAGGAAGGAGGAAAAGGAAAGGGAGGAAGAAAGGAGAGGGGGGATTCCTTATATGCAGGCAGAGGCCTTTAATCCCAGCACATGGGAGGCAGAGGCTAGCCAATCTCTGGGAACTCAAGGTCAGTCTGGTCTACATAGTGAGTTCCAGGACAGCCAGAACTACATAGAGAGACCGTGTCTTAAAATAAATGACATAAAATAAAATGGGAAAGACCGAGGAGGGAAGGAAGGGAGGAAAGAGGTCCTATAGTTCCCGTTGGGGAAGATCAGATGTTGAGTATCTTTTCTTAAAAAAAGAAAAGAAATATCAAGACGAGGTTGCCGCTTTCTGCTTAGAGGTACTGAGGAGGCCCTGCCAGATGAAGCAATCTTTGAGTCCTCGGTAGCAATCCCCTTCTTTCAAAGGGATAAGGTCTCAGATATCCTTCCCAACGTCAGTCAACACTGGTGCCGTGTCCTAGGTAGACTGTAGGACATGTTATCACTGATAGTAGACTCAGAGAAATCTCCCCAGAGCCCAGGTGTAGCTTCAGTGTGTAAGGCATGACTGACAGGAAGAATCTGAGGCCGAGCAGGTGAGCACTTACATTCTAGTTTATCCTGAGGTCTTCCTGTCTCCAGCAGGGACAAGTAGCACACCACATCCTTCAGATACACCATGGGAGCATCTGAGCTGGAAGACAGAGCACTGAGATCTTCCCATGGGACTACAGCCTCTAGGTCTTTAGATGACGCCTGTGTCTTAGCCATTTTTGATTCTGAAAGACAAAAGGAGAAAATCTGAGGACCTTCATGTTAGTAAACATTAACCCTCCTAATGGTGCCATCCTCTTCACGGTTGAGGTGAGAATGTTCTATGGGTTTCTTAAAAATGTAATTAATACATATTATGTAGTGTGTCCACAGAAATGCAGGATGTAGTTATTTTCTATGAGTGGCCTCATTTTTGATCCATTTAGGAGTATATTTCCTTGCAGAAAGTTTACCCATTCTGTGAATTTTCAGGAAAGATGATAGCGTGTCCTGGTGATAATGCAGTGAGCAGATAAATGTAACTTACCACTACTCTAAATACCTAATTCACAAAAGTAATTCTGCATGGACTCTCACCACATTCAAACCCTTTCTTAGTGGGGAGCTGATGTCCTCAGTGGATGTATGCTGTTGACTTGAGGCAGCTGTGTCAAGGACCAATGCCTCAGACCCATGGGAGTGGCAAAGCCTTCCCCTGGTTCATGTGTGAATGTTGATAGTGTGTGCAGAAAATGTTCACTGTAGTCCCTGTACCATGTTTACCTCTTGAAGTCTGCTGTCCTACAGAGAGTGTGTCTACGGAGTTAGTGAAGCCTGTCCCCTTGTTCAGATGTACACAATAGTCCTATCTCCTTAATTATCTGATGTAGTGACCCACCCTCGTGATTAGCTGGTGTGCAATAGTGTCACCTCCTTGTTCAAGGCATAATAAACTGTGCATAATAAACACTTTGGTAAGTTTCTGGGGTGCCGTGGCTTCTCATCAGAGCGCAGATTGCCTAATTCTGGCTTTTCTGTGCCCCTGTGTCTGTCATTCCTTCATTCCCTCACTGTACTGAAGCTCCGTCCCTGGAGGCATGCAAGGATGTGGCATCTCATAGTTTTCTTCTGCAGATATACTTAATGACAAAGGAAGAGATTGATATACAAAGAAAAACCCTACTGACAACCATCGAATTCCAGAAGTTAGGAAACTTTATCTGCCAAGAAAATGCAGAAAGTGACTTGCTCTATGCTCCACAAGGAAATGTTTCCCCACACTCTGTCCCCTAGTTCAGAAATACAAAATTCATTGTCAACGAGGACACTAGAATTTTATTCCACTATGTGAAGTATATGTTCTGAGGTACTTTGTTCTTTCTTTCCTCAGCTTGGCTACTTTCACACCCCCAGAAGCCCTTTTCATAACCAGCAGGATGTACAACACACGGGACACAACTGACTGTGAGCTAAACACATCACTGCCGGTGGGCAAGCCAACGGAGGCCCCGTGACACCAACAGCCAGTGAGTGTTGCCATCATGGACAGAGGCGGAGGCAGCCTCCTCGGCAATGCCTGCTGCAGAAGGCAGTATTACCCCACAGTATTCAGAGAACATAAGAGCTACATTATGGGAGGAAGCACTCCGCCCCAGGACAGCAGGGCTGAGGGAGAAGGCCTGCCCAGTCCTGCAGGGTGGGCTGTGATTTAGAAAGGAGTTAGCTGTCATTCACACTGACAGTAGAGGAGATCAGAGGTCTCTGGGTGTTACTGAGGGCCTACAAAACACAGGAAGGAAGATAAAAGACAGGTGAAGAGAGGAGCTTCACCCAGAAGTCTCACAGGGCCCAGGGTCTGAAGGTAATTTTCTACTGGACAAGACACTCTTGAGCTGCAAGAACATTGACTCTCTGTTTAGCAAGGGCAGAAAGCCTCGGAGGTGAGCAGTAGAGGTAAGAAGAATGTGAACGAATAATAGAAGAGGTGTGAGGGTTGAGATGAAAGTCCTTATGCAATCAGACTGTTAAGCTCATCCCTGAGGAAACCATGGGCATTCTGAATGATGATGTGGAAAACAAGGAGAATGTGATCCTTTGTGCTGGGGTCCCTAATGCCCCAAGTCACTGCTGTGTGCTCAGGTTACTCATCCATCGCAATGTCATCAATGGCTTCCACTTTGTCTCTAGCTCTGAGTGACATGGGACCGGATTTATTGTCCCACCCGACTCAACTAGTACCTGGACAGAAGATATGGAGCAAATGGTATAGGACATTATATTTCAAGTAGGGTCCCCGAAAAAAGGGGGGACAAGTAAGAGGCGAGTTGCCCCCCCCCCCCGTAGGCTGTCACATCTTAGCATTTGGGAGAAACTCTCATGCTGTGCTGGGGGAGGGAGGGGGAGAGGGAAGACAGGAGGGGAAGGGAGGAGCACTCTGGCAAATCCTGGCATACTCTGTGAGTTGAGGAGGAAGTGGGAGCCCAGAGTGCAGCCCAGATAGCCACACAGACAGAAACCCAGAGATATGTATGAGGTTCCTTTATAGCTTGCATAGTCACTTTCAGTTTTATAGCTGAGTGGGGATTGTTGCTCCCTGGGGAGGAAACTGCCTGAGGCTGGGGAATAGAGGTGGTTATGGTTGGGATGGGAGTAGAGGAAGCAGGACCAGAGGGACAAATTCTGGGCTGAAAAGTCATTCTCATCAGTGGGGCAGAAACCCCTAGAAACCACATGTCACCTGTAGAGGACCCCAAGCAACTCTGCCTCAACAGCGAGGCAGCGTCAGATCTAGCTGCCCAAGGGTATGTAAACACTTGCAACTATTCCCAGGTAATCCCACTTTACCCTAAACAAGCATAAGGATATTTGCTGAAATGCAGAAACAGTCCATACTGCACTCAGCAGATAAGGATTCTATACAAATTCTCCCAGAAAAGCGAAGGGATAAGAATCCTACCTAACCCCCCCTAAGAAGAGCGGCAGTGCTGCAAAGCTCAGATCAAAGACATCACAAGAGGATGCATGTCTGCATTCTGCATGGACTCAGAGGCAGAAGTTCGCAATGTTAGCAGTGCATTAAGTAGAAGTTAGCGGAGATGTAAATGAGGAGACACTGTGTTAAAGGGTTAGACCCATGGCACTAACATACCAGTTCTTTCTGATCCTGAGTTCAGCAGATTTCTAAGATGCAATAGCAACGGTCAGCCATAAAACAAACAAGCCACATTGAATTGTATTTCATAAAAATTAAGACATTTTGGAGGTAGGGCTAAGAGCATTTCTTGTTCTTGCAGAGGATTCAGGTTCAGTTCCCAGTGCCTACATGGTGATTCACAACCACCATCACTCTATTTGTAGATGTAATGCCCTCTTCTGACCTCCACAGGCACCAGGCATGAGCGTGGTTCATGTACATATATGCAGGCAAAACAGTCATATACACACAGTTCACATAAAGTAAAATGGATAATTCTTTTATGTTGTTGTTTGTTTTGAAGTCTAGATTCTCTGTGTAGCTTTGGTTGTCCTGGAACTAACTTTTTAGATTAGGCTGGCCTTGAATTCACAGAGCCAATAATTCTTTTAAAACATTAAAAAGCTTTGTTCTTCAGAATCTCCTTTTAGGGCCAGGGAGAGGATGAGTAGGTAAAACAAAAGATTTGAACATTTTTGTTAAGGATGATTCAGAGATGACCAGTAATCTACTGAGCACATGACAGGATGTCACCGGGAAAATGCGAACACAGACCACGGTGAGATGCCACCCTCTGTATTAGAACAACGGGAAATGAAGATGCAGGGCTGAGCAGCAGAGGCCTTTGTGCAGCTAGGTGTGAAAATGGGCCAATGATCTTGAAAAGAGCTTGGCAATTTCCTATAAACGGAAAAGTGCACAGCGCCCCCACATTGTGCCTGGTATCCCACTCTAAGTGTGTGCCCGAGGGGAATGAAAGTTCACCTTACACAAACCTATAAAGGAATATTCACATGTTTGTTTTTAATAATCCCAAACTGGGAACTAACCAAACGTCCCTGTCCCAATAAGTGGAATAATTATGGAAACTCTATCTGTTAGAATACTAATTAACAACAAAATATGTTGACAATTAATATATACAAAATGATTATGCCAAATAAAAGAAGAGCTAAGAAAGGAAATATTTCATGATTCTGTTCATAGGGAGTCCAGATGGTACAATGACCTTCATAGTGACAGAAGGCAGATTACATGCCAACTACAGTTTGACTGAGCTATGCAAGAACATTACTTTTTCCTGAAGATGGTCCAATCTCTAGAGTTCTGGATGGATCATGTCACAGTTCTAGTTCACACCAAGGTTTAGTTTACTCTGGCTTGGAGATGCTAGATGCTGATTATCCCATCAGTGTCCTTCCTTCTCATGCTTCCACCTACAAAATACCCAGACCTCCTGTAATCTAAATAGTAATCTAAGCATACCTCCCAGGGACCAAAGACAAATGGCCTCTTCTACACCACATCGGCCCTCATCCAGCACCTGATCGTAAGCCCCTTCACTGAAGGCAGGGTGCATCTGCCCATTCTGCTTTTGCTCATAGTCTCTGTAGTATTTGTTGACTTGTAGCTGGGCGGTGTGGCAGAGGGGAGAGTTTTGGGACACTAGCGCTGGGGTTTACACTATATAGTGTGTGACTTGCTCAGGTGGGCTTATTACTAGACTCATCCTGTTTTTGTTTAAATTTGTTAAGGGAGGTTAAAACTGAGGTTCACCCCAGTCTTGAATTACAGGGATGTTTGTAACTATAATGTTAAATGAAAAAGAATTCTAACTTCAAAATTATATATGGCTCGATCCCAGTTATGTAAGAAACCTATTGGAAAGAAAAAAGCCCTATGAGATCATACACATTTAACTGCAAGTATAGTTGAGTTCAACTTTTTTTTTTTAAACAGATGAAATTTGTTAAAGAGCAGTTTAGGTTTATAGAAAAAGTAGTGGAAGGTACAGTGACTTTGTTCACACACCCTGTAGACAATTTCGTATGTAGCTACCTTCACAATGAATGTGCCACAAAGAGTTCTGCATTTGCATTGACCTGTCATTGTCACTCACAGCCCTCAGCCCACAGTAGTGGTCACTCTTGGGATTATGTTTTCCTTGGGTCTGAACAAAGGATTTGGACACATGTCCATCACTATAGTGTCATGCAGAGAAATACCACCACCCTGCAGTCCCTCTCTATTTGGCTATTCATCTCTTCTCCCCAGACTCTGACAATCACCAGTTTTTATTATCTTTATTGTTTGTTGTTTCTTTTGGGGAGCTTGGGAGTTACTCTTCAAACTGTCTACAATATACTACTTTTATAATGGGAATATACTATATATTCACTATATAAAGTGAATATACTACTTTTATAATGGGAAAGGCTGAGAAAGCAGGTCACTTCCTTCAGATACTCAATATTGTGCTTTGCTGAAAAGTCTCAACAGGATAAGAAACCAAACAAAACACCAAGGACTTTCATATTCTGAGCTGATAGGATGACAGTGACTCTGGAGGGCTTTGAGTCAATACTTGCATCCTATGAAATACCCTTTCTTCTGTCCTGCTCTGGGAAGAAATGACTTGAGGTGGGCTGTGCTATATCTGAGCATAGAAAGGCATGATTGGTGGAGGCCGTGTCAGTCAGAATCTAGCATCTTCTGGCATCTACCAGAATAACAGGGAAAGGCTGGGTTTTCCACAAATGGCCAAATGGCAAGTGAGTCCAGGGCTTGCTTCTTGTAGGAAGGAACTCTCTGAAACCCCTGCCTAGTCCTATTTTTTTTTTTTTTTTTTTTTTGTAAACGGGGCCAATAAAATGAAATCATCTCTTGAAGGAAACATGGCATGAAATGGATTATTCTTCTTTAAACCTCCAGTTTAAAAAGATACAAAAAGATTTTTTAAAAGATGTCCTTAGATCCCAAATCAGATAACTGCCTTTTCATGATTTAACCTGTAGGGCCGGATGTTTTCTTCACTGTAAGCAGACGAAATGGTGCATGACAAGCCACTTTTCCAGGAAGCCTGAGGAGGTCTCTTTGAGACTCAGAGTGATAGCACTGCTGTGAGTGAGCAAGGCCATGTCCATCTCTCCACTGTGTCACTATCCATCTGTCCTCAAATATCCCACGACCTTCCCTATGTGACTTCTTTGATGCTCTCTCCTCAGCCACTAAAACAAACCCTGTTCACATTGTTTTGGGCCATAAGGCATGGGAAGCAACCTGAGGGTTTCTCTGGAATTTCCAAGCGCCTGGGTGAGAAATTGGGGCAGCATGCTTCCTTACTGGAAGTTTATAAACTTGCCCTTTCCTTTCTTCTGGGAGGATGTTTTGTGTCAGACTTTGATGGGTTATTCCCTATGAGATGTAAGACTGACTTGTGCCTTAAATTCATTCCACCAGGGGACCCTGGACTGGTAGAGCTGATGGGGTGCTGGCAGGGGAGAAGTGAGCCATCAACTTTGAGTTGTCTTTCCCTACAGCTATCACCAGAGGCATCAGGAAAGCCCTGGCTCCCTCCTGCCTTGCTTCCTTGATCTCTACAAGCTTCCATGATAGTCTTCTCTTTCCAACCCATGTTCTGAGTTCTGTGTAGTGTTAATTCTCTCTTCTCCCTTTCTCTGGTCTCTCTCCCTGTCTCTTTACTCTCCCTCTCCTCTGCCCCTTAAAAAAGATTTGTTATTTCCAATTATGTATAGTGTGTGTGTGTCTCTGTGTATGGATATGTGTTCATGAGTATGTGTGCCCTCTCTGGCCTCTGATCCCCTGGTGGAAGTGAACTCAGGTCCTCTAGAAGAGCAGCAAGTGCTGTTAACAGCCAAGCCATTTCTGTGGCCCCTCACTTTTCTTTTTAGGTGGATGTCTGTGTGGCCCAGGCTGGATTTGAACTCGAGGGCTCAAGTGATCTTCTCACCTCTGCTTCCTGAGAAGTTGGGCCTACCAGCCGACACAGACACACACACACACACACACACACACACACACACACACACCACAGCATCCAGCTCCACAGTGAATTTAAAAACAATGACAAACCCCAACTAACTCATTTAGCAATCCTGCCAAACACTGAAAGCCCTATAATGCTTCTAGTTTCCCTCCTGGGACAGGAAAAGAGAAAGATCAGGTTACAGCTAGTGTCCACTTGAAGAGGCTCTCATCCTAGTCTCTGCTGAAAGTCTTCCCATTGTCTTTCAGCTGTAGTACCCCTGCCTTCTTGGTATGGCACATATTTAAAAATATGATGGAACTGCATTTGTTATCCTCAGTGTTCATCTCAAGAGCTGGAATTCAGCTTTGTGTATACATTGTTCCCACAATATGAGCCTGGGCAGTAAACAGGGCCTGCCTCTCTGAGACTTCATATTTGAAACCTTAAGAACAAAGTGCATAGTCCACAAGTCATTTCCCACCGGAACAGGATGCTGAGCTGGCCTGCCAGGAGACTGAAGCTGCAGAATCAAGGACAGTCTGGCTGACTGTAATGAGCTAAGTAGATAGCATTCATCCAGAGTGTGGTTCAATGCTAACTACTAATATAATTGAACATTTACTAGGGGCCAGGCACTGTTCTAAGCCTTAGGACAGCTGCTAACTCATTCAGTCCACATAGCAATACTCATTATCATCCTGTTTTACAGAGGGGACAGCAAAACACAGACATTGCTCAAACACACCCATGGCTAACTGCTAAAAATGAGGTCTGTATTCCTAACCAACGTGTTCTATTGCCCGATCTAGTTCAGGTGGGTGACCCAGAAATTTTTATTGGACATAAAAGGAAATGTCAAGGGTGGTGAGTGTTGCCCCTTCCAGTACCCGAGTTAGTTAACAGCACAGAGAAACAGTTTCTCCCTTATAAACATGTCAGGGAAGATTCTGGATTTGCTGTGCCAGAGGTGGGGCAATGGACCATAGCCCTACAGCAGCTCCACCAGGAACTAACTAACTAAATTGGCACTTTTGCAAGAAGCAAACCACCTGGCACCTCGGCTTCCTTGCTCTGTGCACAGAGAGCAGAGATTTGAGGTTACACAAGTCTGGATTAAATCCCCAGCCCACAATGGTCTCCTTGGCTCCACTGTGTGACACAGTATAAATTCAAAGGTCACGGGAAATTGAAACAAGCAGGTACCTAGAAAACAGATCTTCAAAACCAATTTTTGCTGGCTTCTTTTGGTAATTATTAGAAACTCTCCGACTTGTTAAAAAATGACAAGGACATTTCTGTTTTAAAATTAAAATTTAATTTTATGTGTGTGGATGCTCTCTTCTGCGTGCATGTCTGTGCACCATTTGCATGCCTGGTGCCTACTGAGGCAAGAAGAGAGCATCAGGGAGTCACAGACCATTGTGAGCTGCTATGCAGGTGCTGGGATTCCAACCTGAGCCCTTTGCAAGAGCAGTCAGTGCTCTTAACTGCTGCATCATCTCGTCAGCCCCTCGTGAGCATTGTTTGTTGGCTCATCAGGATGTACTCTTACACACTTGCCCTACCCACTCCAGCCATCCATTGGTAGAATGTAGAATCAGGTATACTTCTGCCAGAGAGCCAGATCTTGGCACACAGACTCCCACTCACTCCCATGCCTCTTGGGAAGGCTCCTCCTCTTCTCTTGCAAATAACTTGTCAGAAGTAAACATCTGGTAACCTGTCCAAAGCGTTGAACTGCTCTGTTCCAGGACAAGGGAGGTAAGAACCTTCAATGAACCTAGGAATCCCTCAACCGTATGGATAAAAAGATAGCTGGCCAACTGGTTCCTCCCCCTTCTCCATGGTGGTTTGACTAGGAATGGCCCCAAAGACTCCTTGGGAGTGGCACTGTTAGGAGGTGTGGAGTAGGAGTGGCCTTGTTGGAGGAAGTGTGTCACTGTGGGGGTGGGCTTTGAGGTTTCCTATGTTCAAGCTATGCTCAGTATGGGACACAGTGTCTCCTTCTGCTGCCTGTAGATTATAATGTAGAACTCTCAGCTTCTTCTCCAGCACATGTCTGTCTGCATGCTGCCATGCTCCCCACTGTGATGATAATGGACTAAACCTCTGAACTGTAAACCAATCCCAATTAAATGCTTTCCTTTGTAAGATTTGCCACTGTCATGGTATCTCTTCACAGCAACAGAAAGCCTAACTAAGACATCCCCCTAAACCTTATGTCCCAATGTCTTACCAGTGTCTGGAGCGCAGGCCTCATCTGCTTTGGCGGCATTATCCGTATTATAATCTAGAGAACAAAAATAAGATGTAAAGGCCAGTCCATGCCCTCCAGACCCTTAGAGGGGCATGTAGGGAACCTTCCCATGGGCTCTTGTTCATGCAGGTTGTGTGTGTGTGCTATGTTATTATCAGCTTGTCTCATGCTCTCTGGGATTCTGGTAAGACAGTGGCTATGATTTCCCTTCCCTTGATCCCTGGTTGGTCCTAGCTGGGACATGTGCTGAATGTCTCTAACCATGAACTAAAGCCTTCTTGGAAAGCTCTTATTTTTCTACCACATGTTAGTTATGTCCCCTCTTGCCCCATCCTATCCTCTGACCGAGTGACAGAATCATCCCCCTTTTTTACCTCTTGCTGAAAGGCTCACTAGACAAGGTTCCTGTGAGGGTCTAGGAAGAGGATTCCCTGTCCCTTGGCCTCCCTCTCACTTCTTCCTTAAGGAAGTCACTATGTTCAGGTTCCCTTCTAGTGCCCTGCCTATGCCTGTGGCCAGGGGTCACAGATGTTCAGCATCCTCCCGTCTTGGGGAAAGCTGGCCCGTGTACCTGAGACATTGGGCTCACTACTGCTGGCCCCCTCCTTTGGGTGGTCAGGTGTCTCCTGTCTGGGCTTCTGGCTGAAGGCCAGGAAGAGGTGTGTGCTCAGTGGCTGAGGAAGGTCCACCTCCAGGTATGCCCTCATGAACAGCTTGAAGACATCATAGCTAATGGGCTGAGAAGGGCAAGAAGAGAGAAGTCAATAGAGGGAAGGGACAGGATGGAGAAAGAAAGGGAACAGGGTGGTGGCAGGTGAAGTGGAAGTAGCGGAAGCGAAGGGGCCATGGGGACAGGAATGGGAAGGTCAGGAAGAAACAGAGAGTCACAGGGGCAGGGGCCGGGGGCCGGGACACAGACAGAGAAAACATGGTGGCTGACCCTCAGGCACAGAGTAGGCTTTTGTAATAGGATATGGTTTGGTCTAAACTGGGATTAAAAGTAGGAGAGATAAACTCCACAAGGTTCAGAGACTACTGTGAAAGAAGGGGTAAACAGATTTGTAAGGGTCAGATGCTGGGGTGCACCTGAGTGAAACAAACATTTCCCAGACATCACAGGACTGCTACACCCATTTACTCAGCAGTTATGGTTGCCTGCACAGGTCCTTCATAGGGTCAAGCCAGTTAACATTGCACTGTGGAGAGGAGATGGGCTCATGTGTCCTCACCACTAGCTGAAGAGCTATGAACAGTTGCTGGCTTGTGGGAAAGAGTCATTAAGGTTCCTTGTAGGTCTATCATGCTTCAGTGACAGACCCATGAGTATGTGGGCAGCAAAGTTAGGCATAGCGGATCAGCATCGGAAGAGGACACTTGTTGGAAAGGGGTGAAGGGGTGAGAGAAGTAGGGGTGCGTATGATCAAAACACATGATATGTAAGTATGAGATTCTCAAAGGGTTACCAACAGCATGCATAGGAAGTGGGACTCATAAATGGAGAGCTCCAGGGATCTGCCTTTGTCCAGGCTCATGTGAAGGTCATGGATCTACAGAGCAAGGATTCAGTCACTGCTTTGAAATTCTGGTGACAATGAAGAAGGATGCAGAAGGAAATAGCATGGAAAGAAAGGTTATTTTGTGGCTATCATGGTTTCTCTGATTCTTGAGTCCAGGTCTCCAAAAGTAAGAGAGATTGGGGAAGGCAGGACAGGCTCTCCATCCTACAGTGCTTCCTAACGCTCATCTTCTCTAGACAGATGCTAAGGTGGAAAGGAATTGTGTGTGTTTGGCTCATCTGTGTCCCAGAACATGCCACTGTGATGGCTTTAGGTATCAAGGAAAGCAGGACGCTAAGAACAGAAGGTAAAACCAAGGGGCATGCCAAAAACTAGACCCTGTCCCTGTTGTCTCTCTTGATACTGCCTGGCATCTGATCCTAGGCTTTGAGCATCCATGCCAGAAAGAGCTGCAGCTCTCAGCAAGCATTCACTAACAATAACAACAACAGTTTGCAATGAGTCATCCCTGGCTTGCAATTTCATGGTGTTGGAGCGTCATTCAATCACAGATGCTCCTGGAAACTATTTGAACAAGTGCTGCCCCAAGAGCTGCTGTGCTGGCCTCCATGAGGAATAACAGCCAGGAGAATAGAATCCCTTTCTGGAAACCTACTTGATGCTTTCTGAAAAATTCTGATAACATTTAACCCCTTTCATGTTCTGGGGATTAGGCGAGCCTTCCCAGAATCAGGAGCTGACTTAAATGTGTAGAGTCAGGTGTAGGTCCATTGGGAACTCGCAACCAATCTCTGCTAAGTTCAGGACTGTAGAGATCAGAGCTGTCCTAGAGATGTTTTTTTTTTGCAGTGTGGAAGAAGCCTGATGTAGTTGGACACAGACCATTTACTAACTTCTTCACTTAATTTCCAGATGAAAAGCACTCAGCACATGGTTTATTGACATTTATTGTGCCCACTGTCCTGCTATGTGTCTCTTTTCATTCCACATCTCTGATTCTCTGCTGTATTCTCTCTCTCTGTCTCTACAGTATCACTACCCCAGACTGTCCCTTCTGCATACATCCTCTGTTCTTTTCCAGGATACAGTGACAGAGTCATTTCATTCTTCCCCATGGCACCAATCCACTACTACCCTCGCTTCTGTCCTCACTGTCTCTGATGGCATCTTGCTTGCTTTTTAACTACAATCACATTTCAAGGGAATCTTTCCTTTCCTCTTTAATTTCTCCAAAGACACCACACTGACCTCCCTTTCCTCTTGAACTCCACTCTGTTTGAGTTCCTGTCTCTTGCCCATGAACCTGCTTTCTTGGAGGTCTTAAGTATAGTTGTCTCTTCCTTAAGTCTCATCTCAGTTCGCTGAAGAATTCTATCCTCCTTTCTTGAAGCTACTTCCCACATTGAGATTTTATTTTGATACTTCTCATTCCCAATTTTGGTTCAACTGAATTTCTGCTGTTCATTCTTTTATTTCAGAAGTTCCTTTGCATTATCTTTTTGCACTATTTTAACTGACAGGTACTGCCTAAAGGATAGCTGTGAGCTAGCACCAAATGGAAACAGTCAGAATGAAATGTTTCTGGGAAAAAAAGGCACTAAAAAGAAGAGTTTGTGGCAGGCCATGGGGGGAGACAGACACAGCTGAGCTTTCAGTTAGAGATCAGCCTGGTCTACATAATGAGTTCCAAGACAGCCAGGGACTGTGTAGAGAGATCCTGCCACAAAACAATCAAACAAAAAGTTTATCTAAACAAAGTCTAATAGAATGTGGTGGGAAACAAGCAAACTAAACAGCAACAACAAAGCTAAAAGGTGACTGGAAAAGATCAGTGTGAGAAGTTCCAAGCCACCAGTATGAAGTTCCCCAAAGTAGCCACCAGATGTCTAGTGTTTAGAAAAGCAGTAGAGTGGATAGATATGTCTGAGTAAATTTCTTTTTATTTGTTTACTTGTTATTAGAATGTAAAAATTGGGTTTCATTCATTATGAGATTTCTTTCTTTTTCTTTATTCTTTTCTTTTTTTTAGACAGGGGTTCCTGTAGCTCTGACTATCCTGGAACTTGCTCTATAGACCAAGTTGGCATCAAACTCAGAGATCTGCCTTCCTCTGCCTCCCAAGTGCTGGGATTAAAGGTGTGTGCCGATACAACTGGCCTTTTTCAAGCACAGTTTGTTTTTTACTGTTTTCCTTTCCTCCTTGTTCTCCCCTCATCCCACACCCTTCCTGAGAGCACCCCACCCTCCCCCATCTCTGCTGCCATGTCACATGACTCCCTTTGTGTCCCTCTACTCTCTTTTTCAACATTTCTTGTTCTGCTCTCATGGTCCCTGATCTAGTTTCATAGTCTATAACCTATCTATAATCCCTTATTTTCACACACACAAACACTAAAGTCTGGATATGCCTGTGAGAGAGATTGTGGAATTTTTGGCTTTGTGAATTTGTGTCCCTTCATGTAATGTAATATTGTCCAGAGCCATCCATTTTCCTACAGATTTCATAATGCCATTTTTCTTTACAGCTGAGTAAAATTCTATTGTGCCATATTTTCATTATCCATTCTTTTGTTGATGGCCATCTAGGCTAGTTCTGTTCTCTGGCTGTTGTGACAAGCGTGGTTGTGGAAGTCCCTTTATGTAAGACATATAGTCCTCTGGGGATATATGCAGGAGTGGCATGGCTGGGTCACTCAGCCAGATCCCCATCCTGGTCTCAGGCATGTGGGGCTTTTCCAACTTCGGTTTTATCTTAGCAATTATTAGTATGGGGCCAGAAGATCTCTAAACCTCTCTGGCACCTCCTTAGTTAGGATCCTATTCCTGACTGCCACTTCTGCTAATGCCAATGACAATATTCCAAATTCAGCTTTGACCTCTCAGTGACCTGGAACTGGTTCTTGTCCCTTCATTCTGCAGGATTAGTTCCTTTATAGTACCTGAAACACCTAGACCCTTTCCAGGTCCATTTCCCCTTGAAGCATCACCAGAAGTCTGACTTCTTCAGTTTCATGTGTTTTTTAGCCAGACCATTGCAATGCCTCTAGATCTAAAAAAAAAAAAAAAAAAAAAAAAGATTTATTTTATTTTATGTGCTGGAGTATTTTTATCTGCATGTACACACTTATGTCACATGCATGCCTGGTACTTTTGGAGGTTATAAGAAAGCATCAGATCTCCTGGAACTGCAGCTATACGTTGCAGATGATTACGAACCACCATGTGGAAAATGGGAATAAAAGCTGGGTCCTCTGCAAGAGCAATGTGTCTCTAAGTTGCTGAGCTACCCTCCAGCCCGGGCATGCCTCTTGAAGGCATCCTTACTCCCACTTCCCTCTGTTGCTCCTCCCATCTGCCGTACCCAGCCATGTCAGGCTGCTTTTCCCAGAGCAAGACTGTAACAAGATTGATTTCCTACTCAAAAAATTTCCAGGGCTTCCAATTGCCCATGGGAGAGTTGAGAGCCGCTTATACATAACTGATCTCCGGTATTATATGCGATAACAGGTATACAGGAAAGAAACTCAGGTGAACCAAGTGGAGTATAGATGGAAGCTTGAATATATATTGATATATAAATAATGTTGGTACAGTCAAGTTAGTCATCCTGGGCACTTACACTTTCTGGGGCTTTGGGGATTTAGAATCTTCTCTGTAATTCCACTCCAGCCTAGATGTGGAGTCACTTCAAACTCTCAGCCCATCTGCCACTTTCTCTTGCTTTCTGTTACTACACATCCTGTCCCCTTGTTCTTCCCCTAGCAAGCTCCACAGCCTGCTTCTTTAACTGTTAAAATTCTAGCGCTGTGTTAAAGTGCTGTGGGATTTCCTGCACCTGGATTTCTCATCTCATTTTTTGTCATCAAAATATTCCTGATAGGTATTTGAATAGAAACTGGCTTCCCAGCTGGTATATCAAAGAGATGGCCTGCTGTAGTGCTGGCCACCTGTGGACCATTCTCTCAGGCAGGCAGAGACTTGTGTTCAGCACACACAGGTAAAGGTATTGAAGTGACTGTAATACATAGTCAACAGTGCCAACTGCCACGGGATGAGAACGGGATGTGAGGTCTTAAAAAGCAGTGATGACTGAAGTCATGCCTACTCATTCAGCATCTGTTGGGAAATGGAATGGCCTAGGATCAACACAGAGCACTCAAATCAGAAAACCTCAGAGGACCTGGGTCTTCTTATGCCCCTGGTGCTCAGGACATTCAGTGACTTGTCCCAGCCCACTAGAGGTAGGATGAACCGGAAGCCTATCTTTGGATCCTGTGTCTGTTGCTGTTTCTGTCTTAGGTCCCTGTACAGTGCTTCACAAATTCAGTGAGCAAGAAAGAATGATTGTGTGTCTCTCTGAAAGTGATATATAGGTTAAATTGTTCTTTACAAGCACCATCTGAGCACAGTGACGGCTTAGTGGGTAACATGGTAAGGAGGGCTTGAGTATTATAGCCAACTAACACCAGGCATTAGAGGCATATTGGGAAGGAACCATCACTGTCATTGGCACCTACACCATTCATAATCTTCCCAGAGCTGCAAATCCATGAAGCAACCTGCCAGGCAATTGCTATGGCTGTAACCTGTTTTAAGGGGGCTTGCTAATTCTGCCCCAGGTCTAGAAGGGAGGAGAAAAGCTGTAGAAACTACAGTGCACCAGGCTTGAGGCAACGGCCCAAGATAGGGTTATAACTCACATCTTAAAAGCCTACCCAAGGTCACAGTGCACACTGCAGAGCTGAACTTGGGCTCAGTGTGTCTCAGTACCACTGAGCCACCACCTTGTGTCTTTTGCTGGGTTGGGCTTCCCTCACTCTCTAGCTGTCACCACTGTTCTTCTCTCCAGAGAATCACTGGTCAGACCCGCCCCTCTGCAAATTGCCATTCCCTCTCTAGCTTCTCTAGCAACCTGCCCCTGCCCACAGCTAACTCCTTTCTCACTGAGACATTTTAGCAGCAGGAAGCCATCAAGCTCAGGAGAAATGAAACCCTTGTTGTTTCGCCAACCCCATGCCATGCCATTACACCTACCAGAAGTCAGGAGAGCTGTGTGAGAGAATGGCAGAGATCCCCCAGGATGCAGCAGGGCCAGGCATACAAAGAGAGGGGGCCAACTCTGAGGGGTGTGAGGGCGGCTGCACACTCATGATAGACAAGCGCTCCCTGCTTTTGAAAGCCCCTCTTGGCCTTCACATCAGTGGTGGCCCTGACCAAATTGTTCCCCTCCCACACGCCAGCCCTCAGGCAGACAGGCTGAGTACCAGCTCCCTCCAGCCTTTGTTCCCTGTTTTTGGAGTTGGAGGTGGGAGGGGTGGGGGCAGGGAGTTCTTTGCTGCCCTGCATGGCTTCTCCTCAGGAATGCTCTTTGAAGTGGTATGTTCTCTCCCTTTCTGCCAACCCCCCTCCTGCTCTTTCTCCAGCAATTGGTGGTTTATCAAGGTAGACCTGGAGAACACAGTCTCCGCTGCTGATCTGTTGATTCATTCCTGGGAGCCAGTGGAGAAGGCCTTGGTTCAGGTTTGTCGAGGGAATGACAATGTGAATAGGTAGATGACTGCCTCTTCCTAACTTAGTTTTGCTGAGCTGTCACTTTTCCCCAGTAAGTCTCCATACTTACTGGGACAGGGGAGGAGGAGATAAGACATTCTGGGGATGGGGATAAAGGGGAAGTAATAACATGTTCTGTAAAGTATTCAATATTTGGCAACTTCTTTTCTTTTAATTCACTCATCTACTACATTCAAAGTTTTAATATGCTCATTAACTCCAGTCCACAGATGAGGGGACTAAAACTCAATGAAATACACAAGCTCACATTGTGGGGTGATGGCAGAGGTTAAAAGCTAGCCTAAAACCATGTGATTCAAGGACTGGGACTCACACTCGACCTTGGCAGCAATAGGAAATTCCTGAAGGGAGGAGACACTATGCTTCATGATCTTTGCCTCCTCTTCAGAGCCCAGCACAGTGCCCACATAGCCAAGAAATACTACCGTGCTTGAACTTGAAAACAGGCAGAGGCCTTATATGTATTTACTCATCCAAAAAGCATTTGTCAAATACTTGCAATGAGCCAAATACTCTCCTGGGCACCACATACACAGCAGTGAGCAAATATATTCCAGTGAGAGAGACAGAATTAATTAAGTAAATTAGTTAGCATGACAGATGGTATAAAGTACTAAGAAAAACAGAGCAGAGCAGTAGAAAAGGAAGTATGAAGAAGGAAGCCTTCACATGTTGGAGAAAAAAGGTGGCAATCACTGGGAAAGTGGTTTGAACATCAGCTTGAAGAAAGTGAATGTCTTAGTTAGGATTCCTATAGTTGTGAAGAGACACTATGATCACTGCAACTCTTATAAAGGAAAACATTTAATTGAGGTGGTTTACAGTTCAGAGGTTCAGTTCATTATCATCATGGTGGGACATGGTGGTGTGCTAGAGAAGTAGCTGAGAGTCCTACATCTTGCAGGCAACAGGAAGTGGTCTGAGTGTCACACTGAGGGAAGCTTGAGCAAAGGAGACCTCAAAGCCCACTCCCACAGTGACACCTCCCCCCCCAACAAGGCTACACCTACTTCAACAAGGCCATATCCATTTGGGGGTCATTTTCTTTCAAACCACCACAGTGAAGAAACAAAGAATGTAGATACATGTCAGAGGACATCCTGGGGAAAGGAAAAGCAACTGCAGTGGTGCTGAGTGAGGTTACAGAGCATTAGCTTGTCTAAGAGCATCCAGGAGGCTAATATGGTAGGAAGGAGTGAAGATGGGAGAGTAGGCAAAAATAAAGCCAGAGAACAGAGGAAGTCTAGATTGCCCTGAGTAGGGCCTAGGGGAAATGGAAGAATGACAGTTCTAACAGACTGCTCAGGATATGTATAAAGAGTAGATGGCAAAGGGCAGGAGAAGAGGAGGAGAGCCCAGAAGGAGACTGCAGTGGTCTGAGCAGAGTGCAGTGAGGAGTCAGGTCCTGGAGCCTGGCAGGAAGGATGATGTAGATTATTTTACAGGTAGAAGTGGTGGGGTTTTCTGCTGAACTGGGTGGGGAAGTGAAGGCAAGAGCTGAGTCAATGACAATTACATAGTCTTAGGTAAATCACTTGAGTGATTAACTTATTGCTAATCAAGTTTTCCTGGACTGACTGATAGAGAAATATGTTTTATGAGGGAAGATGGAGGACATCAATTTAGCTCATGGTAAGTTTGAGATGTCTATTTAATTTTCAAGTTTTAGATGTTAAGTGCAGGGGAAAGAGAAAACAACCCCCCATCACCAAAAACAAAACAAAACAAAACAAAACAAAAAAAAAAAACAAAACAAAACTGAGTGTAGTGTCCTGAAACCAAACAATGAAGATGAAGGAGGATTTGACAAATTGCATTCAATACCATTAAGTAGCATCACTATGGGATTCAGTCACATGGTGTCTTCACTAGTGGTATCAGGGAAGGATTGGGAGTTGCACACTGCTTGAAGGATTCTGGAGAAAGTAGAAGAGAGCATGGAGGAGATGCATCCAGACAAATTAAAATATTTTAATAGAGGGGAAATAGTGCAGTTTGTGTCACTGGGAAAAAAAATCTAATGTATACAGACAGACTGATGTGGAAAATATAGGGACAGGGAGAATGGGGGAAGGCTGGGGAGGGGTCTTGACTCAGTGCCCACCAATAACCCAAACACAGGAGAGCAGACATAGACTCAGAGCACACCCAGCTCACCACAGTGACGGGTAAAGGGGCACACAGGTGAGGGAGACTGCCTGGGGTTTTCCTTACGTCTTCTCAGTGTTAACTGAGATTGGGAGGGGGTAAGCAAGAGCCACGAGCAAAATAAGTATGGTGATGGAGTCTTGTAGGACAGTGTGGGAAGTGAAAGGAAACACAGATGGCATGAATGGCTCGCTTGAGACCTGGGGTAACACAGGTCTCAGAGCAAGGTCTTCAAAGCAAGTTAAGACTCCAGTGGGGAAAGGAGGGAAGGCAGAATTATTTTTTTCTTTAAAGACTTGAAATAGAAATAGTCTTACCTTGTGTGGGTCATATTGCTTGAGACTTCCACCTTCCTTAAACTCAGTCAACACATCTTTTATTTTCTTGGAGGAATCTGGAGAGACACAATTAAAATGTAAAACACAGGTAAATAGCTAATGCAACCAAGGCTAGACAAATTCCGCATAACTAGTGTACGATGGAACAGCCCTGTGGGCCATGTGGAGACTTGGCCTATGTGTCCTCAAATCCTTCCCAGCCTTCTCTCTCTTTTGGCTGTCTGAACTATCTTTCTTCTTCTTCTTCTTCTTCTTCTTCTTCTTCTTCTTCTTCTTCTTCTTCTTCTTCTTCTTCTTCTTAATTATTTACATTTTAAATTGTGTGTGTGAGAGGGGAGAAGGAGGAGAGAGAGAGGGAGAAAGTGTGAGTGAGTGAGCCCTGGGGCTGTAGTTACAGGTAGTTGTGAGCCACTTGATGTGGGTGATGGGAACTGAATTCCAATTCTAAGCCTCTGCTTTATCCTCAGAGCCACCTTCCCAGCCCCTAACCACCTCTCCAGAAAGCCAGTCTCATCATATCTGGCCCAGGCCCAGAGATTCTCACCCTCACAGAACCGCACTCCCTCTTAGCTTGTGCTCATCAGTCCTTAGGGATTCGATTTAGCTCAACTCTTTCCAGATGCTCCCAGTTTTCCAGTCATGTAAAGTATTTCCAGAAATTTCCAAACATGCTGTATATTCTTCCATGACATTTCTCTGCCTTTCATATTTCCCCTCAATTTTCAGTACCCTGTCTACTACCGGCTCCTTCGTAAAACTTGCCTTTGGGGCAGAGTTATTCCCACCCAGGGCCCCTCGGTGACAGGCATACAGCTCTCACCATGCAGCATTCTATCATTTATTAGCCTGAGCATTTTGATCATTTTTTTGAATTGTGTATTTTTTGGAATACAAATGTACATGCTGGATACATCTATTCTTCCTGGTTCTTTTTGGCCCTCTTTCTTCCCTCAATGATTTGATTTGGGAGACAGAAAACTTTTCTCCAAGTAAGAATAGCAGAAAACTGGGGTGAAAGATAGCTCAGTAGTTGGAGTGCCTGGTTGCCTGGATGTGACCCCAAGAAGGTGATGATACTTGAAGAGCAACCTCCAAGGTTGACCATTGGTCACCATACACACATGCACCTGCATGCATGTTCACCTACATAAACACACATACACCCCCCCACTCCACTCCAAAGCATATGAAGGGTGTTGTGATAGGCTGGCATTCAGATAAAGAGGGATTTTCTGGGGCCCATGGGTGGCCTCTGGGACAACTGAGGATTTCTGGGGTGCTGTAACTGCTGCCATGTCTTCCCATACTAAACCAAGAACAGACAAAAAACATTCTAAACATGTATATGAATGTGTAATCATCTGAGTAGAATTTATCATTTTTGAGACAGGCTCTCATGTATCCCAGGCTTGTTTCTAACTCACCATGTAGCCAAGGATGACTTGAACTCCACCTCCCAAGTGATGGGCTTACAAGCTTGTGCCACCATCTTGGCTTGTGAGGAGAAAGTCCACAACATTAAAAGACTTGTCAGCTTTCAGAAAGGTGAGGCAGGATGACCAGGAGCCAAGCTAGCCATGGCAACAGAGTGAGTTTGAACCAGACTAAAATACAGGAGAAATTATCTCAAACTATGCACCAGGTGAAACCAAGCAAAATCTCGAGCTGGATGTGATGGTGTATACCTGTAATTCCAGGACCTGGGAGATTGAGGCCAACTTGGGCTCTTAAGACAAAAACAAAGCAAATAAAAACCCAGCAAGAAGGTTGCTTCACCAATTATATCCAGTGGGAAGTGCTGGCAAGGCTCTGCCCGTGGTGCTGAAACAGTACTGTGGGAGGTGGTTTCTTCCAGCTCTGGGATCTTCACAGCTGTGTCCCTTTGTCCTCAATTTTTCTTTTCCATCTTGTTGGAAAGAATTAAATTTTTCATCTTGACACAAAAAATTAACCTCAATTATATCTTACAATTAACCTGGCTGATTGGATAGTCTAAGGATGCTCTATTGTATCCCTGACAGTGGGGACTTCTCTGGAAGCTGCCTCTCTTTGACCTCTGCATTTCCCCTTCACTGCTACCCATAGGGGACATTTGCACCTGAAGGGAAATAGATATTTAGGGGAGCACAGTGATTTAAAAATTGGAATACCTATAAAAAATAACACAGAAGGGGCTGGAGAGAGAGTTCAACCCTTAAGAGCACTGGACCCATGCAGGCAAAATGCTCACACACATGAAACAAAAATCAATCTCAAAAAAAAAAAATATTCAGAAAGAGGGAAAACACTGTTAGCTGCTTTGCAGGAATTTTGTAAGAACTGAGAATAAAAAGAATTAGTAATTGTCATAGAAATGCATCATGTATGCATGTATGATTCAGCACAGTAGACCATGAAGGAAACCAGTGTTTCTATGATCTGTGCTTCCCCCGACTCCAGGAATTGTGGGTAATTAAAAGCTTCTTCAAGCTTCATTATTGCTTCTATTTAAACATCTGAGTGAAGGATTCTTCATGGGTTGGGCTGTTCTCTGTGGCTTTGCTGACTAGGAGTCTATCAAGCAGAAGTTATAATCATTGCAGGATTGAAGCATTTTGAAATGCTACATGAAAATGCTGCTGTTGCCTAAAAATGGAAATTTCTTTCTGAAACTCAAAACAGATGTTGAAGAGCTAATAGCTTGGTAAACTCAAGGCAGCAGATGCCAACAATTTGGGTTGCTTCCATTCAATTCAGAAAGCAGTGTGGGCAGCAAGATGCTTCAAGGACTATTGAAAGCTCTGGTAGGGGAAAGGCTTGAATGGTGTGGTGATGGGAACTGCCCCTGATTGGGGATATTTATCTGTGTATTCTCATAAACTCTCTCCCAGTCATTTTCTACAAAATAAGGGGAGAATTCCTGCAGTCTACAAATGATGAAGTTAAAATTCATAAAAATGAAATGGCTTTCCCAAGGGAAGGGTTTTAAGGTTTAGTTTGGGTCAAAAGTCAGTGTTCTTCCCCTTCATCATTTTTCACTATTGCTGATAAAATATTAGTGAGCACAAGGTAAAGCGTGGCCATTGTGGTGGCAATAATGGCACCAAATGAGTCAGGTGGGGCTGGTTGTAAGCTACCCTGGGGTCTGTGGCAGCCGAGTTGGGTTTTTAAAGGCAGGTATAAAGTTGAAGGACTCTTCTCAGAGGGGACAGAACGAGCCAAGATGGAGGGCTCTCTTAGAACACAGATAATAAGTTAGAAACAGAGAGTATATTGGGGCCAGGTCTACAGGGTTCTTGAATGCCAAGTGAAGCTCATGGTTCAAAACCATTACAGATATTTTGAATGATGAAGAAACCACCAAGGACTTTCTTTTCCTTCCTTCCTTCCTTCTTCCTTCTTCCTCCTTCCTTCCTTCTTCCTTCCTTCCTTCCTTCCTTGTCTGAGTGCTCTGTCTGCATGTTTGCCTACTTACCAGAAGAGGAAACGAAAGTGTGTGAGTGTGTTCCTCTTGTTTCCTTTTCCTTTCCTTTCTTTCCTCCTTTCTTGTTTGTCTGTTTCGAGACACGGTTTCTCTGTGTAACCACTCTGGCTGTCCTGGAACTTGCTCTATAGACCAGGCTGTCCTCAAACTCACAGAGCTTCTGCCTCTTGAGTGCTGAGATTAAAGGCATGTGTCCCCTTTTTCTTTTTAATATATCTGAGTAATTGCATCTTGCCTATCAGCTTTACCCATTAGACGAACACTAAGTCAGGAGATAGGACCTTCAAAACTCTAGGACTGTGGTTCTGAAATCTGGCTTAGTGTCAGAGTTGTCACCTGGGTGACTGCCATGTGTGCCAAAACATGCTCTCAAGATCTACTAAGTCACATCAATTGGGACTGTCCGCAAATAATCCATTGCAAAGCTTCCTGGTGGATTAAAATGTGAGCCGTGATGAGGAGCACTGTTCTGCCATCTGGTTATGTTCTTTCAAGTGAGGGAGGGCTACCTTAAGAGGTAGCTGCTCTTGTTGGGTAATTATTTAAAAAAGAAAAAGAAAATAAGCTCACAACTGTTGCAAGTCTGAAGCTACTATTTGAAGCAGACAATTCCCATTATTTAAGTGGCCAGCACCAAAGAACTCAATGTAGCAGATCAAATTATTCTTTGGCAAATTGGCAAAGTTGGGCTAAGTTCTGTATAAACTCAGATTGGCTGGACCATAATCAGACAGATCCACTCCAAGTCAGGTGTGGAGAAGGCTCCCTTCAGTGAGAGGTCACTAGCTGTTACAACTGCTCTAGGGGAAAAAAATTAGTACACAATTATCCCTTATGTTTTGTAAGCCAGGAAACCTGGGACCTAAATTAAGCATCTGTTCCTAGCATTTAAGAAAATGTAAAGCCTATTTATAAGAAAACCCATTTTTTTTTTCACAGACCATTCCACACGGCTCTAGAGCAGGGATGCTCCCAGTAAGAGCAAGCAGACCAATCAGAGACTTGTGTTAATAGCAGAGCACCAGCCACACTATCTGGACCAGAACCCCGAAGTTTCTAAGCTATCTTCTAGCTGTGGACACAGTTGTTAAAATTGGAATTGACCATGAATCAATGTTTCAAAAGTGAATCTGAAAACTCAAATACGGAAATGAAATTTGAAGGTGCCAAACCCTCCACTCCTCAGGGTTTCCTAAGAGTTACTTGAACTGCAGTGAGCACAGGAATTACCTGGGATCTGGGGAGAATTCGGGGTCTCACCCTATAGATCTGGACCAAGGTCCAATAATTCCAGTCATGTTGGGTGACCTCACTCTGGGTGAACAAACCTCAAGCAATACTCCTGTTGATGGATTAACAGTTCAGGCTCACTACATTGGCCAACAGCTCACCTCTCACAACTCAGAAGAGATGGTGAGGTGAAGACCAGGCAGACATATTTTATACACTGAAACAACTGCAGATAATTCCTAACTGAAGAGTGGTGGTAGTGGAATGGCACCAGGAGAAGGCTGGGATGAACAGATAAACCTTGTAATTCTTCCAAGGGGCCAAAAACACACAAAGAAAGAAAACAGCCCGGGCAGTGATTTCTACAGGGGCTGAAAGATGGAGGATGGTGTTACCATAGAAATTCCAGGGCTAGGAGCCTACCTAGTCTCAGTGGGGAAGAATCAGACTACAGAGCATGATGGGAGATGTGTGGAGAAGCCTAGTAGCAGGCACTGACTCACTTTATTCCAACTGTACCTCCTTACCCATTCACAGTTTGTTCAGAGCATGTAGCCCATAGATCAGATGTTCAATAAAAGCTTATTGAAGGAATGAGGACTAGAAAAGGGATCAGTTGGGGTGCTCATGCCTGTCCCTTGTATCTATATTCTAGCAGGGAAATGTTAGACCACTGGTTCTCAACCTTGGTTGCACGTTGGAATCATATGGAATGCTTTGGAAAATATTGATGACTGGGTCCAACAACTACAGATCATGATCAAATGGCTCTCAGCAGAGAACTGGGAATGTTCAGAGTCTGCCTCATGGCTGGGATGTGTAGCAAAGTCAGAGGCTGAAGCAGCAGGCCAGCACTTCCAGGAGCCTGTGAAAGTGATGACTCAGCCATAGAGGCAACACATAACAGCATAACAGAAAAGGCTCTACAAGGACAAGGGTTACTAAACTCCGAGTGCCAAGTGCCATTGTTCCAAAGAGATTTCTCCCTAGCCACACATTCTGTGAGGCCGTGTAGGCAGATTTCTAACCCTCACAGAGGGAAAAGAGGTTGAGCTCAAAGAGGTGTGGGTGAGAAGACATCCAGCTTCTCCCTTCTAAGGTGGAGGGCATTTGATACCATGTCCTGATGGTTAGCATTCTAAACAGTAGGGTACTGGTGGTGCGCTCCTAGAACTCATGTCATGTCATGACTGATGATTGTCTGTCTGTCTGTGTGTCTGTCTATCTCTCTATCGTCTATCTAGCCTGTATTGGATTGACTACTTCTAAGAGACACTTTTATTTAATTTCTTGAAGCTGAACTAAAACATGTGGAACTTACATTCCATGTACTGGCCTATTTGGTTCTTTGTTACACCAGGACAGGTGATGGTCCAGGCAGGCTTGAAATCAGCTATGTAGCCCAAACTGGCCTCCATCATGCCATCTTCCTGCTGCCATTTCCTGAGAGGTAGGGCTACAGTTTGCTTTTACAATTTCTTAACACACAAGAGCTTTTCGATAAACAACTTTTGCTGTTGTTTCACATTCAACTGACTGTCAAGTATAGACATGTGTTCATGTGTGACTGATTACATGTACAGACTTAGATCAATGTTCCAAGAGCAGCTTTCAGATACCTTCTCCTACCAGAAGGCCTCCAGGGAAGGTGTGTGCTTATGTAAGACAAGTGGCATACCTCCTCCCTGGCCCCAAAGATTTCAGTTCTTGTGCTGTGTCCTTCATCATTTTGCTATTGTAAGGCTCCTGTTTATGTGATTATGGAAGAGTGGTTGCTATGGCAATGGGATCTGACTGAACACCAGAATGCATCTAAAATTGGTGGAAGTGACTTTTTCAAGGTTTCCTCTAAGGATTAATCATTTTCCAAGAATTTTGTCTTCCCCCCCTCCCCTTTCTTGATGAAACAGCATCCCCTGAGCACTACTCAGTTCAGCCTCCCATGTGGGGATCAGAGGAGTGGCCAACATTCCCCCACCTACCATGGGCTCTTAGTGTGGCTATTTTTCTAGTTCTTCTGTCTTCTCTTTGTCCTTCTTGAATCCCTAGCCGAAGGCATGCCCTAAACTTCTCTCTATTCCCTTCTATTTCCTAACACTCTAATCTCTAACATGCCTTCATCCTCTCCCTCCCCACACCGTTGTTGTTTCTACAGGACTCCAAAGTCAGGCTGCAGCTGTAGCCTAATCCTGAATTCCTACTCATACCTCTCTGTACTGCACATTGCTCTCAGAGGAATCCTGGCAAAGGGTCTGGTACATTCTCCATCTCCTCCCACACTCTACAAGGCTCTCAGCCCGTGTCTAAGTGCAAGGATCGCACAAGGACATCCTTGCTGGGCAAGTCTGAGCCTTACAAGGCCAACTCCAGCCTTCTTAACACCTGTCACATGGAGATGTCATTGAGTCCCATCTCTTCCCCGGTCAGGAGCTGTGTCTTCCTCTTCGTTGGTTACTAAGAGTCTGGTACACACAGATCTGTAAGCAGTGTGCTATTGTCACCTTTATCCTTATCATCCTAAACTATCTCCATCAGTCCCGGGATCTCCTGTTGCCACATTCAGTTTTGAGGTACCTCCACTGGCTTCCTTTTGCTCTCCATAGGCTGATAGATAACACTTGCATCACAACTTCCCTCAAATTGGCTTGAATTCCACACTATAATCTTATTCCTTGTCTCAAGCTAGACTTCATTTCAACCAAGGCCTGACTCCCAGTATAGCAGCTACCTGACGTGAGCCTCTTTATAGACAGCCTCCAGATTCATGGCCCACACATTGACATGAAAGGCTTGATGCTAGCTCCTTCCCTCCTCATCCTTCTGCTCCTTCTCCCCATCCAGTCCAGACCTCTGCCTTCTCCTTTGCTCACCTTGTCCCTTTAGACTCTCTGACTTGAATTAGAGTTCACTCCATTAGCTCTTTTCCTATGGCTTCAGTCTGGTCCCCTACTCATATGTTAAAAAGCCTTAGACTCTCAAGATGTGATCTTATACAGGGCTATTGTAGATCTAAGCAGCTAAGATGAGGAGTGGGATGTATCCAAATCATTAATACTGTATCCTTCTAAAAAGGAGAAATATGGGCACAAAGACATATACACACAGACACACACACAAACATACACATACCTACACATACACACAGACACCCACAGACACACACACACACACACACACACACACACACCATACCTGGGAAGAGACTCCAGGGAGAACACAGCTATAAACAAGCTATGGGCATAGGCCCGGGAGAGAGGTCATTCTTTCTAGCCCACAGAAAAGTCAACTTGCCAATGTCTTGATTTTGGACTCAGGGCCTCCACAGCTTGGAGTTAGTCAATTTCTGTTGTTTAATCATCCCCACCGTGGTACAACTGTCTCCCATACTGCTTTCCTGTCTTTTTACTCCCTGTGCCTTTACATGAAGTTAGCCTGTTGTGTTTCTGAGCCTTTGAGTTGTGATCTGCATGTGCACAGATCAGACTGCTGGACAGGACTCTGCACCCCACAGGACAGGCCTTGCCTCTGTGTGTGATTTCACCTCTTGAAGAGTGGGTTGAGTTAAAGTGAATTTACCCTTGTTCTCAGCCAACACTGCACAGTTTCTGTACACCCACCAAGGCTGGAAAGGAGAACTGGGTCCCGGAATGCCACCAGCTCCCTGTTGATCTCAGGGAATACATGGAGCTCAGGTCATTAGGCTTGAATAAGAACTTAAGCTGTGTCTACTCTTTTGTGTGTGTGCATGTGTGTGTAGGTGTACACATATGTATGTGATATGTATGTGTGCATGTGTGCACATGGAGGCCAGAGGTCAATATCAAGTATCTTCATTAGTCACTCTCCACACTTTTTAAAAATCTGAGTCTGTTCCTGAACCTGAGCTTGCTGGTTCATCCAGACTGGCTGTCCGGCAGGTACCACAGATCTTCCTGTCTCTCTTTCCAGCCCTAGGATGACAGGCACCTGCCACAGGACCTGGAGTTTTCTTTCTTTTTTCACATGTGTGCTGAGGATACAAACTGAGGTTCTCATGCCAAGTGTCTGGCACTTTACCAACTAAGTCATATCCCAGCCCCTGGTCCAGTCCTCCCGGTATACCCATGAAGATGTGGAGGTTCGGGGGGTGATAAGCTGTGGCATCACAGCGCTGAGAAGCAGAGTGAGCACTGTTGTGGAACAGTCTTTTTGTACACTGTGAAAATGTGTTGCTCTCACTTTAATAAAGAGCCAATTGGCCAATACCTCGGCAGGAAGAGGTTGGGTGCACACAGGGAGAGTGCTCTGGGTTGAAGGAGGGCACGGTTGCCAGGAGACACAGGGAGAAGCAAGATAAACATGCCGTGTTGAAGAAAGGCACTGAGCTATGTAGTAGAACATAGATAAGAAATATGGGTTAATTTAAGTTATAAGAACTAGTTAGAAATAAGCCTATGCTATTGGCTGAACATTTATAATTAATAATAAGTCTTTGTGTGGTTATTTGGGAGCTGGCTGTGGGCAGAAAAGTCTGCCCACAGAGCACTTGGCCTGGGTCCCTGAGTTGGGCAGGTAATAGTGGTCATACATGCTTCTGCCTCAACCCAAGCAGATTCTGAAGGGCTTGCTGAGTGCATTGTTGGTTTTTATACCAGCCTTATTTTCTCCAGTGTGCACTCCAAATTCTCTGGTGAGTGTGGATTATTTATGAGAGCCTAAGAGTGATTATATCTTTAGACTGAAAGCACAAATTCTGTGTTTATCAAGTGATTGTAGCTGTCTAGCCTCGTTCTCCATGGCTTTGCAATAACCCTGCCCCTGGGACTTATCTCCCAGAAGAGAGGAAGTCCCATGCCATGTCTGTAAATGTCAGAACTTACATTCAGAGTATTTCTGGAGTTGATCAAATTCTTCTGATGAGAGAGAGACCCATCTTTCTTCACTCATCTTTCAGCTGAGTGTGATCAACCGAAGCCACAGGTGGAATTCTGTTCACCAGGGAGAAGTTGAGGCCCAGCTCAGGGTCTGGCTCATTGCAGATATGCAATGGATCAGGTCTCCAGAAGACTTCTAGGGCACTCAAGTGTTGATGACAGTTGTGGGCAGCTCTCGACAGCTGACAAAAGATTTCTGCTATTCCTCAGGCAACATACTTCTGCTGTGGTCCAGGCCAATCCCCAAATCCTGGCAATTCCTGAACTGAAGCAGAAAAGCCATTGTAAATAAGATGCAAGGTGAACATGGTATTCTGTTGAAAGAGGGAAATGATTTGGTGTAGTCTACCTTCAGGGAGGTCTGAAGAGAGAGCAAAAGTCAGCACATGGCAGCCCTGCTCCACTGTCCAGCTGAATGTCAGGGGGAACTGGCCTGTGTGATATGATGGCCATACTTCTCACACTGGGAATGTCTTCCACAAATGGTGTTATTAGGGTCCCAGAGGCACAGAATGAAAATGATCCTGGCTGTTACTTGGCCTCAGAATCCTACAGGTACAGTAGCCTAGGCAACTGGTTCAAAAGAGGAGCCTTCCCAACTTTGCTCATGTCTAAATCTTACTACCTAGCTTCAACTTTGCATGGTGGTGGGTCACAGTGGAAATTCAGATAAGCTCTGGGCTAGCAGCCTGTAGTTTGAGAGCAGTTCTCAGAGCTTTAGGGGAGAGCCTGTCAGCCCCCAGGTACAGGTTTTGGGACAAATGGAGGTGGGGGGACAAGGACACCGGGGGGTGCTTTTCCTTTGACCCTTTTATGTCCTAGTGTGTTTCATTAAATCAGTTTTGCAAATGACTAAATGAACATAGTGGGCCAGGACCAGCATTTAAAGAATGAAACAGATTAGGATGGAAAATGCAAATATTTTCACTGTAGTAAGTTGTGTTTCATGAGACTGTTCTTTAAACTATATTTTCATATATTTGCATATTTTGTTCTGGGTCAAAGATAGAAACCAGTTGGTAAACCTTTGGTATAATAAGAGGAAATGGAAAGAAACTGGTTCTTATGGTATGGAAGAATAGAGCAGAACGCTAATGCCATAGGGTCTTCTCTGGGGCCAACTTCCAGGTCTGTCTGAAGAGGCAATACAGGATGGAGGTCCCAGAAGGGAGACACATGTAAGATTCTCTACCATAGTGTGTAGTCGTGTCTGGTGCAGGCCTGCCTGAGAGGCCCCCCAGGGTCTGAGGTTCTAGCTCCATAAGAAGGGACAATGGTGTGAGGTGGCCAGCGGGTGAGATGCCTGTGTCTCTGGAGGTGTTCACAGTGATCTCTTTCTTCCAAGAAGGCCAATGTCTCCTTAACCTACTGGAAATCTGGATTCATTTTCAACATCTGCTCTTCTGAAGGTTCAAATCCCACAGGGCCTTCCCAGTACATCTGAGATCCATTCTCTCTGTTTGCATCCTGTGTCCTTGCCTGTGAAACCCTTGCCTTGAACCTTGCGTGTCTTCCTGAATATTCCCGCCCCCAGTCTCCTCCATCGTCTTTTGCCATCTCTAAGCACAGTTGTGTCTCCTCAGCCTGCCTCCATTCCCCAGGAACTTCACTCCTGTACTGCTTCTGTAACTGAGCCCTCTCCTCAGTCCGGGTCTCAATAGTGAGAGACCTGCAGATCCTGTACTCGGATATAACTCTCCAACCGTCTCTTGAGACCCTTCAATGTTCCGGATTACCTTAGACCAGCACCTGCCAGGACCCTCTTCCTGCCTCTCATCAGTACTGTAATCACTCAAGTCACTGTGCAGGCCATAGGCTGAGGCCCAGCCTAGCTCGCCACCATCCCTCCTGTGAAACCCAGCAGTCGTCCTGGGCTGTGATGTCATCCCATGCTGGTCTTCCCTCTGCTGGTTTTTGCTCTTCCCCTACTCTGTTCTTTCCCACGGCCAGCCAGATCACATCTCTCCTGCTAATAAAACCTTTTAGTGTGTTCTGTATCTTCCCCAGGAATCTTTTCTGCGACCTCTTACACAATGATGAAGCCATCTAAGATCTGAGTCTTAGAACTGGTTCTCAAAATTAAGTGACATGTGGCTATGTTGCTGTCTCTAATAGAGGAGGAAAAGAAAACTAAGTGTTTAGTAAAGAGGGTGAAACAAACAAACAAAACAGGAACCACCGACGTGTTTAAGAATGCCTCTGTAAGAGGCCCCTTATGGTAGACCATGCCTAGAGCCCCAGGGTCCAGAGGCGAAGGCAGGAGTGTGAGTGTGACGCTAAACCCTGACTCAAACAACATAGAACAGAAAGCAAAGCAGTGTCTCTGTGACCTCAGTACTGTGTCACCCCAGAAGCAGTCCTCTAAGAGGAATCGGAGCCACACAGCAAGATAACAATGCTGACTGCTAAATCAGAAGGCAAGGAAGGACTCTGGCTCTGGGCTCTGCCTGTCATTGGTTATTTGACATTTTTCTGGGCAATTTCTTATCATTTGAATTTTTTCCTTTTGAAAATAAGGATATGACTTGGAAAAGTGTATCTGATGTTATGAATGGGTCAATATACATACACCATCCCCTCCAGCACAATGCCTGTAATGCAGTGATATTCGATAAAAATGACTCTTCTCAACCCTGATAGGGTTGGTAAATGCTGGAGCCGATGGGGCCGTAGAGATGACTCAGCCAGAGATAGCATTTGCTGCCAATTCTAATGATGCTCAGCTGCCCTCATGGCTTCCACCCATGCACATACAATCAATAAAAAAATTGTAAAAGGAAATGAAAAGGAAGTTTGAATGGAGGTATATTTCATAGCAAATAACACTGCTCCCAGAAGTCATAGGTTATTAGGGAGTAGGCAGTGGCAGGTGTGGGTTACACAGAAGCCCATCCCCCAGACAATCTAGGCCATCACCATTTCTCTTGGTTGTCTACCAGAACTAGAGAGCAAAACCTCATTTCTGAAGTCACCACATACTTTGGTTGCAAGACATAAAGGAATCAACCTAGAACAGGGTCAGGAGCTTTTCTTCTGAAGGATAGCTTCCCCAGTGCCAGAAGGTGCTTGCAGGCCTCTGTGGGAGAACTGACACCAAACGTCTTCCCTTCTTGTGGACTACACAAACACCATGCCGGGCAAGATGCGCCCAATGATGCAGTAGTGGCACAACTAGTATGGGTACACAAGAGGGAATTCAGACCCCGAACTACAACCTGGTCAAAAGCCCATGCCTGGGGAGGCCACGTCTTCTGGGAGGGAACCTGCTTCTGTTGTTTTGTTAAATTGACATGTTGTCAAGCTACCTTCTAAATATTTCCATTTATAACCATAGGTTAGTGCTAGATGAAGGGGCTCTTGGCAGTTAATGGCTACTGGGGGGGGGGGAGAGCCATTTTCTTCACTGGTGTTTTCTGGAAAGTTGCCAATGCTCCGGTAAATAACCCTCTACCTAAGTCATTCAAGCAACTCTAGTTAAACTCAGTGGTCATTAAAAAAAAAAAAAAAAGCCACAAAAGCAAGAGGGAGACATGTTGGGATGCAGGACATAGGAAGAGCTATGACAGGGTAATCTGACCAAATTGCATTGTGGAAAGGTGTGAAATTGTCAATGAATTGATAAGTGAATAAATATATGAAAGGTTTTCACCCTATTGCAGATATGACACTTAGCAATATGGCCTAAGGACCAGCTGAGAGCAGTTGGAAGGTTTCCAGTGTGCCTCAGGTTCCTGAACTCGATCTCATCCTGCTCCAGGTTATTGTAATCTTGTAAGTACTCATCAAAATTTTATCCACTGGCTTCGGCACCCGTCGGTAACTCTGATTATGAAGGTAATGGTTTTGTAATTTAGTCATTCATTTTATATTAACCAAGAGTTTATGGGGGGAGGGGGCCTTCCACAATATTTTATTTATGTTATCATAAATAGCAGCAGATGTAGGCAGGAAGGGGTCATGGATAGCAGCTGAGGATTGGCACTGTGTGGCAGGGCTGGAGTCGTTGAGGAGAGGCCACAAGAGACCACTGGGGAAGGCACAGCCTCAACTGCCATGGCAATCCCAGAATATTGGAGATACAAGTCCCATGGAATGACTGTCAAGGACAGCATCAGCTATGGAGTGGAGCTGCCCTGAACCCATGAGACAAGCTATGTGTGCTCCGGAGGGCAGGACTGGAGATGGTGCGGCTGCTTAGGCCCTTGGAGCCCAAAGGCTCGTGTGTGGTTCCCAGGTGTGAAGCACTGCACTTCTACATTGTAGAAATTTTGTTTTGCTTTGATTTTATTGCAACTGTGCCTTGGTTCTCCTCTCCTTGCATATAAACTATGTAACTTATTTTTGATAGGAGTCCATAATTAAGAGATTTTGCATCTTTAAAGAGTTTTTTTTTTGATATTTTGAAGCAGGTGAACTTTGAAAGTCTATAGGACTTTTGAGATTATACGATGGTTTATGTTGTGAGCTTGATATTAAAATGAGATCTTGGTGGCTAACAAGAAAGGAAAGGCTATGGTTTATTAGTAATATACTGGTGCATAACATTTAAAAGAGGATAACTGTCCTGATTATTCTGTTGTCAACTTGGCACAAGCTAGAATTATCTGGGGAGGGAACCCTGATTGAGAACTGGTATGCGGACAAGCCTGTATTGGCATTTTCTTGTATTTCTTAGGTTGTATAAAAAGCAGACTGGCGGTTCACACGACTGTACTTTAGCCCCTTCCTGCTCTGAGGCTTGGCACCAAAACCGGCCCTGAACTCACCACGGCCTGGTGCCTGGCCGGGGCGGGTAGGCCTTGGAGCTCTGTGTTTGCAGCTGCCACATGTGGCACCCGGTGCAGATCCTGTATGTAGGTGCCGGGTGGCTGCCATGAACCTTGAGATCATGAGAATCCACAGCAAAGCACCTCTCCTGGGTGGCATCCAAGACAAAAATGAAAAGAACAGACCATCTTTGAAATCTCTAAAAACTGATAATAGGCTGGAAAAACTCAAATGTAAGCCTCTTTGTGGAAAAATATTTTACCTTGACTTGCCTTCCATCACCATATGTGAAAAACTACAAAAGGATATAAAGGATCTTGGTGGGCAAGCTGAAGAATTTCGCAGGAAAGATATCAGTTATCTTGTTTCAAATAAAAAGGAAGCAAAGTATGAGGAAACACTGAGTTGAGTTTCTCCTGTACAGAGTCCAGAATCTACATGTGCTTCAAAAGCACCTCACCTCATCCCAACCATGATGGAAGTTCCTTTAAGT